TTTGAATAGGCAATTTTACAGTTGTGTACTTGGTTACAAAGCCTTTGATTTGGAGTGAGGCTGAAGGTGACCTTGTTAACGTTGTGATAGAGATCAGTATCTAGTTAGCATGATAACAAAGTAATTTGCATTTGAAAAGGAGCAAGGGGTGTATCATAACAAGGTCAACCTTAGCCTCACTCCTGTTCAAAATGGACAATTGAACCCGTATTCTTGTTCCAGCACACAAATATCCTGCATTAAGAAGGAACTGGAAACTGATAACTCTTAACACGTTTGATAAGATATCTCACAAACCTCAACCGACAGTAACTTAATTTGAGCGTAAACATGGATATCCAGAGGTTTTCGTTGTACATCCTATTGTTTGTCGCTTATCTAGAAGAAACTTACGGCTCTGAAGGTCAGTAAGGCAGATTGCTAAAAGTTACACCTTTGTACTCTTTGAAATAATTCGTAAGTGTGCGGTTGATGTCGGATGAAGAGGGTGCAACTTAATAGGTGTAACCGTTTGTAAAAAAATATATGTCAGAGTATATTTTCAAGTCAAACCTTGCGATCAAACAATCATGTCGTGCCGGAAGTAAACTAAATTAACAACGAGATTTCTCGAAATTGTTTCAGAAGAACCGATACATTTCAGAGAGCTAAAGTTCTGTATGGACTAAAGAGAATCAATTTCTGAATAACTACGTTCATTAATATACTTTGTAAATCACTGAAATGGCCCTCAGTAATACTAAGATCTGCATTTTGTATCCTTCGTATTTCTTCACGCCAACCAGCTATTTTCATCTCCCATCATTTTGGCATTTCACTCCAGAAATGCTTCGAAGCCTTTTATTTCGAAATCAACAGATTTCATCTGGCACAAAGAGTATTAGAAGATTCTTTCTTTATTCGAGTGGATAGCATTGTTCAAATACAAGATAATTTGTACTCTTTTGTGGAATATAACTGCACCTTGAATGAAATGTTGACACAAATATATCTATTCCCAAGCTGGGCTGCTTCCTGATAAATTGGATTGCAGGGGCTAAGAATAAAAATACCAGACTTATGATACTCTCAAATTATACTCGAACAAAGGCAAAGAGCGTTTAATTATTAAATTGTCTGCACACCTACTGAGAGCAATTCAAGAGGAACTGTTTGTAGAAGGTAAACATGATTGTCTCGAACTGATTTCGTGAAAGGGGTTTCTCCTTCATTACCACTGAAAGCAACTGTAGCATTCACTTGCTAATCAAATAACACAAATTCCACAGACGATTCCCAACCAAAGATAACTGGCCCTCGATTGTCTTGGACAATTGGCGCTTAATACGGTGCCGATTGATACAGGTTCATAGACAGGCTTAGTTTGTTCCCTAAATACCCCGCTAGCTCTCTCACTTTGTAAGCATCCTGATTCAGTGCCTGGCTGTGGAGTATGGAATGCAACCGAACCATCTTCTAGCAGCAATGAGAGATGGTGCATCAATAAATGAAGCTGGATTGCATCAAGTCATGTTTTTCTTCCCCAATATTCTTAGTGTCATCTGTTACTCACACACAATCGGCCTTTGAGCAAGCTCATCCGCATTCATGCTCTTGGCTAGAATTTCTAATTTGAGAAGCCTCTGCTGTATATTCCAATCTTTGTCAATGAAGCGAACGATAATTGCCAACGCTTCTCCAAGTCAGTTGTTCCCATCAAAGATCACAGAAAAAGCACTGTTGGCAGCTATTTCGGATTTCACAAAGTCTATCTCCTTCTGACGAATCATGGGAATGAATTGTGCTAGATGGTTCCGAGATGTCAAGCGATGACAATATTTTTCAAGAAATGGTCGCAATCTGTCGATTGCATCAAGTCATGTTTTTCTTCCCCAATATTCTTAGTGTCATCTGTTACTCACACACAATCGATATTGTTGGGAAACACTTTGAATTTAGTGTCCTAGACACATTTTCTAGGTGTTGGAACACCTTGTTTTCTCTCAGTCCAGCTTCTCGGCTGTTGTGGAGGACAAGAACTGGCACAGCAATGCAACTTCATTCCAAAACCAGATGGTGGAGCAAATGGGAAGTCCTCAATCAGGTCATGGAGTTTTTTGGGAATGTTGAGCCCTTCCTAAGAGAAAATGATAACCTGTCTCCAGTTTGCCGTGCAAGCCTGTTGGAGATTTTTGATGATCCAGCTACTGCTAGAGACTTAGACATTGAGCTTGCTGCTATGATTGATGCGGGCAAGCACTTTGTTCAAGCAACTTATTATCTTGAGGGGGATGGTCCCTTAGTATTTACTTGCTATGAGCATTTGTCAGCATTAGCGCATGCAATAGCCATTGAATCCTATTCAAACACTGAGGCCAAAGCTTGCCAACATGCAGGTAGAAATATGGCATTGTACAACCAGTTAGTTGCTCAAGCAAAGGCATGTATCAATCCAGGCTTCCGCTTTTACCAACAGAAATTCAGTGTGCAATTCCATAATATTAATTGTCCGTGCATTTAAGGCTGCACGCTTATGCTGCCCAATACAGGTGCAAGTATTACATCCAACTGCTGCATTAGTCCAGGAACTAAAGAAATTTAGTTTCATTACTGATGCAGAAGTTGTACAGCTTGTGGAAGAGCTGCCAAACTATCTGGATCTGGCCATTGCTGATGGTGCAGCCATTGAAACAGAGGAAGGCAAAGTACAGTGGTGGGCTGCTCTCCCAAATTGGTCTACTGCAGTCAAAAAGGTCTTGTCGGTGCAGCCTAGTTCAGCATCAGCTGAACGTGTCTTTAACCTGCTGCAAAATGCATTTAGCAAGCAGCAAGAGGTAGCATTAGAGGAAACAGTGGAAACATCGGTCATGTTACGTTACAATGACAATAAGCGCACATGAAATCTTGAATTATATGTCTGTAGAGGACTAGCTGGTGGTGCAAAACATTGACCAACAGGGACAGTGCTCTGTACTACATCCGCAAAGATGTAAATATTGAAAGACTATGGTTTTTATAGCACATAAACTGGTGTATGCCAGAGAAACTTTATATATTTAATAAGTATATTAGCAAAGTTTGTTTTGTTCGAATACAATCACGTGGTTATCGCAATAGAAAGTTCATACAGAGAATCAGATTTTTATAATATCGATGAGTCAGTATGATATAATTACGTATATAGTATCTATGCAAAGTGAAATATATTCATTAAATCTTTATTTAAGTTGTTAATCAATCTCCTACACTAAAAAATTGAAAGCAACTTTTGGATTTTGGGGCAACTTTTGAGCAACTTTTAGAGTTTTGGAGCAACTTTCGATTAACTTTTTGAGAAAATTGGAGCAACTTTTTGAGAAAATTGGAGCAACTTTTTGAGAACATTGGAGCAACTTTTTGAGAACATTGGAGCAACTTTTTGAGAACATTGGAGCAACTTTTTGAGAACTTGTGGACAGCCCGGGGCGGGGGGCGGCAGGGGGAGGAGGAGGGAATATTAGAGCCATGCATCATTGCATACAGGGATTTCTATACATTTCTTCTTTCTTCTCTTCTTTTTGCTTCAAAACTTTCTTCATTTTTCCTTCGACTTTGGCAACGGTCTCGTAGTTGAGTGTCTGAGTAACTTCTTTAGTTGTCCATTGTATAACCTTCTGTAAAGATGCAATGACAAGGAAAACTAGCTTCGCTAATTAGCCAGATCGCTTATTAGCTAGATCGCCAGTAATGACTGTGAAATACCTCGTTTGACAACGACAACAACAAAACATTTGCTGGATAGTTCTGAAAATTGAACTCCTTCTCAATACTCTTCTGAGATGTCTAAGCCCCTGAATATTAGGTTCATTTTCTCTTTTCCTTTTCAGTTGTTTTTGGTTTTTTTTTTGTTCAAGATTGTATTATTTCAGAACAAATTCAGACGAAAAAGAAAGAACAAATATTACAACCTTGAGGGAGATCGTGTGGCCAAGTGGTTAGCGCGCTCCACTCTAAACGGAATGAGACGATTCTTGGTCCATAAGCATTTCTTTTGCTTTAATTGTGTATGACATAGGTCACAATAATGAGCATCCGAACCACTCTTCTTTTAGAGGTTTCTAGTTGCGCTCGATTTCCTCTCAAAGTATTCACTCCAGGTGTAACATGGAACCATAAATTCCATGCAGTGATGGTATATAGGAAAGAAATAACTTTTGCTTTAATTGTGTGTCATAACCGAAGGCTGTTACAAATCTCCTTTCAAAACAACTAATTATAATCTGAAATAGTTAAAATTAAATTATTATCGCGAAAACAGTATGCATATACACGGAACGGTTCTTGTCGAAATTTAGTTGCAACTATCAATTTCTCATGAAATTACTCGGATTATTACAGTAACTTTTATGAAAACGTATAGAGGAGTTTCTATCATATTATCTAATTAGTGATACGCAAATCCTACTGAAGCAAGTTTCGATCTTACAGTTACCAAATTGGTAATAAAAGTTTCATGTTGTGAGAGCGATTATACTCTTGATTCTTTCTGGATTGCTTCATCTTCAGAAGGTAAGACGGCATCTGATCTTTTGACGGTGAGACTTGAAGGCAACCGGCTGCTTTTTCTACTGACGATCCTAGGAAATGCCGTATTTATCTTGGTACTCAGAAAAATGTACAGCCATGGGTTAACGGCACTGTTAGCGTGTCCAAACCAAAAACACACAAAGCTGACAATCGGCTGTATATATAGGTAAGCCTTAGATGCGTGAATGATTTGCATCATGTGGACCACTTGTGGTGGCAGCCAACAAAGGGCAAAGGCACAGGTAACAATAATGAGCATCCGAATCACTCTTCTCTTGGAGGTTTCGAGTTGCGCTCGATTTCCTCTCAAAATATTCACTCCAGGTGCAACATGGAACCATAAATTCCATGCAGTGATGGTATACAGGCAAGAAATAATGGCCAAAGGGATGAGATAGTTGACGACGAAAAGGAGGAGGTATATTCCTCGAAGAGCCCTATCTGGATCACCCAAGATGTAAACAGATAGCGTGCAATAGGAAGAATTATTGTAGTCCTCCATGGTTTGAGTAACAGGGAAAATGGACATGGAGACCAGTGACCAAATCCAAATAAATGGAACGGTTAATTTAGGCTTTCGAGACCAAAGATGGCGGCGGAGGGGATGAACGATGGCATAGTACCTGTCGATCGCCATGAACGTCAGGCAGAGGATGGATGCTGAAAAATTTACATAGATAGTGTATATAACACCTTTGCACATGACTTTTCCAAATACTCCCGGGATCATCCACACACCGTCTTTACATATAAAGGAAATCGACCAGGGCATCACTACCAAGGTTACAAGCAAATCAGCGATGGCCATGTTGACGAATATGAAGCTTGTCAGTGATCTGACTTCAGGTTTCTTCCACACGATGTAGATGAGGAAACCATTCCCTGCAAACGCTACGAGCATCGTGATGGCGTAGAGGACTATGATAACAATCCACTCGGTTTCTGGTTTCATCTTCAGTTCCTGTTTTTTCTGTTGCTAATGTTGAATGGGATAAAACTGTTATTACTGAATAAATAATCAGTAAATGGAACACCCATGGCCCCCTAAAATCTCATTCGATACCAACCTGGGGTGTGGTGAGAGGAATCGATTGTGAATTCAAAGGAAAAAAACAATTTTTTTTATTTTTTATTTTAAATTAAGTACACTTTGGTTGAGTCGATGATATTTCTGGACGTCACTGAAGCTGTAAACAGGAACGGAAATTCTGGAAACAGGAAAAGGAATGCAGCAGGACATTTTAATTTTCTCCGTAAATTACCCCAGTGAAAAAATCTAAGTATTGAAGTGATGGTTAAGTATTTCTGCACAGAAGTATTAAGTATTCCCATCCTTAAAATATATAAATACTGGTCTTCGTTGTTGGTTTGCCTTTATGACGAAAGCGTTTTTAATTTGTCATCTTCTCATTTGTCGTTTTCCGTCCCGATGAATAAAGATAATTTTCAGAAATAATTTTTTATTATTATTATTTTCAAATTTTCTGCACGGTTCCTTCATTTGTTCGCATAATACCAATAACGAAAATTATCAGAAAGAAATGATAACAATAACATAATATTCGTTTTAACTAATCTTTTTTTTTCGCAGTTTAATATCCGGTAGAATAAAAAATAACACTAAAGATAATGTATGATGTCCTATTGAAGACACCATTGGCGTATGTATATAACCATTTTTGATGGACTGTAATGTTATTAGGATTAGTTTGGAAACAGGAAATCAATATGTCTATATATTCGCCTTACAAAGTCAACTTGTTTCCTTCCAAATTATTGTGAGTTAAGAAGTGTTGAACGTCTCAACCTGTGATAGAATGCACTGAAGTCCGTTGTCAGCAAATAGACTTGTAGCCTCTTAGTACTAAAGAAAGATTAAAAAAAGGGAAAAATTTACATTTCAACCGCACTGATCCAAGCGTTTTTTCAGGTTGATCTAAAATAAGAAACACGGTGTACCTTTGGAGATCGATAAGGTTGCTTCCCCAGTCCAACGGTTTTAGAATTCAGTGGCCCGAGACTGATGAACCCTGATGAACTAAATAATAATAATAAATAATAATAATAATGTTTATTTCTTATATTGCGCAGTCTAGCATGCGATAAAGATATGATCGAGTGCGCATTACAACACTAAAATCTTAAAGTAATAAATGGCTTGTCCAGATAAGGATGATAATAATAATAATTTACAATTTTCGGAAAACAATAAAAGTAAAATATGAGTTAATAAAAGAACTAATAAAAAGCTAATTTAAAAAGATGTGTCTTTAGTAAAACTTTAAAAATGTTCAATGATTGACATTGTCTAATTTCTAGAGGGAGTCGATTCCATACTTTGGGCGCAGCATTTTCAAACGCCCTATCCCCGAGTGTCTTTTTTGTTCTATAGGTATTGTCCATTAGGAGTATGCCCCGGTATGATCTCAACTGATACCGCGAGCTCTCTTTGATTTTTATCAAGTCTGAAAGATATTGTGGTGCGACACCGTAGATACATTTGTGAACTAGCATTGCTATCTTGAATTCTATTCTGTGGGTAACCGGAAGCCAGTGCAGGGCAACTAAAGGGGCTATTCCTGATCACTTCTGTTTTAAACCATATCAAAGTGATTTGCTATAAATATTAATGCGGGTCTCGGTCGCATCTCTTCTTGACAGCCGGACAGGAATATCAGACATAAATGTTTGCATGTGGGAGTTCTCAAATGGATCTCAAATCCAGCATGCCTCATATTAATTTCCAAGACACGTACAACACGGGCTTACGTCTTCCGCTTTAAAGAGCAAAAAAAAACTACTTAGAGCTCAATCAAGAGGTCAAACTTTTAAACACCGTCTAGAAGCTATTTTTCTTCGAAGCAAGCCGTATATGATCGATGTGTGTTTGGTTACATATAGGCATAGTATTTTTTTATGAATGTTACCCATAATTTATTGAATATAGGGATAATT